CTGAGCATTCTCAGGAAATACAGCCTCTTCTGTGCCTTCTTTATTAGCATGTTGGCATTTATAGTCCATGAGAGTTCCTCTGAGATGTAAGTACCCAGAAATTTAAAACTACCAACTCTCTCCACTTCCTCACCGTTTATGTACAGTGGTAAATGTACATATCTTTTCCTCCTAAAATCAATTATGAGTTCTTTAGTTTTTTTTTATGTTAAGTGTGAGATGATTTTCTTTACACCAAAGTATCAACCTTTGTACTTCCTTTCTATAAACAGACTCATTGTTCTTATTTATGAGCCCCACCACTGTCGTATCATCCGCAAATTTAATAATTGCATTGGTGTTATACAGTGGGGTGCAATCATGTGTGTACAGGGAACAGAGGAAAGGACTTAGCACATAGCCCTGGGGAGCTCCTGTACTTAGTACCAGGGTAGAAGAATGGTGAGATCCCATCCTTACTGACTGTGGCCTATCTGTCAGAAAATCCTTTATCCACATGCAGATCTCCTGAGGTAATCCCAGGTTGATCATTTTAAAAAACAACCTATTTGGTAGAATGGTATTAAAAGCAGAGCTATAATCCACAAACAACAGCCTCGCATAAGTTCCCTGATGTTCTAAGTGGCTCAATACAGTATGGAGTACAATGGACACAGCATCATCAGTAGATCTATTTTTTGTGTATGCAAATTGCCATGGGTCCAAAGAAGGTGGAAGACTAGCCTTAATGTAATCCAGCACCAATCTCTCAAAACATTTCATAACAACAGATGTTAAAGCTACTGGTCTGTAAAGTTACTAGTACATTGCCATGCCTGATTCAACCATTTCAAATATTTGCCTCTATTAACCTGAAAATATTTAGGTCCTAGAAATAGTTTGTTATAACAATATGCCAAAAAAGTGTAACAGCAGGATGTTTTCTATCCGATAATTTTAAAATCTGTAGAAAGTGCAACGTATTCAGAAGTCTATATGCAAAAGAGATGAATATACTTCAGTCTGACTGAAATACAAGAGACTTTTATCAGACTGATACTGCACTCAGTTACTCACAACTATGTTTCCAGCCTTGGAAGTACTTACCATGAAAGCTCAGGCTCGGGGAGAGGATTACAAAGCAGCTGGTTGAGATACAATCCCATTTGAAGGCAGCACTGCCACTGGCAAAAAATGTGAGCAGTATCTAATTCCAGTGATGCCTTTTGCGATTTCTTTTCTTTCCATTTGCAGAACTGTTCATGCACAATTTTATTGACCTCAGCATGTAAAACTTCAGAATCTAGATATAAATGGTAACAAAAAGCCTTTTCTGAGCATTTTGAGACATTCTAAGCAAGAATGTGTGTAAATACATATATATCGTTACAGAAGCTTCAGCTGGCATGCTTCTAGATGTCTGTACTGAATACTTTCTTGCACAAAATATGGGAAAGTCTCATTGTGTGTGGTGTGGGATAGAAAGATACTGGCCTAAATCTTTGGAGCATATACAGTTCCCTCTAATTACTATTTAGTAATTTAGTAGGCTTCGATATTCTTATAAAAAGTATTTTTGTGAGAATATTGCAGTACTTGGTTGTTGATTGGCTGTAGGGAGGAATTCAATGTTCTGATCAAGCTGAATCTGCTTCCCCCAATGGCAAAACTAGGAACAGCTTTTACTGCCAACTTGTATTGCCAGCACGCAACCCCCTGCCCATAAACTCACATGAATCCCAAAAACCTGATTGTATCTAAGCCAAAGTAGGTGTAATAGAAATAGCTGCATTCGTCCTCTGAAATAATTCCTCTTCTTACTCCTACCTCCGTTTCCTCTCCTTCCTGTTTCACTTTATAAAATGCTGTATCTGCTACAGGAGTAAAACAATAGTAAACATGATGCAAATTTTAAAGCCCCCAATCTTCTCATGATATTAAAGTTAAAAATTTTAAAACTGCACTTTAAAGGCTAACTTGATTTACTTGGTATAAACTTTGATGGACCCACCTGCATTTGACAAATGGGCTGCAGTCTTTAAGGTGCCAGAAGACTTCCTCTTGTTTATTGTTTCAACAGACTTAACAGATCCACCCTAATCCCAAATATTAAGATTAAATTACCTATGGGGAATTTCATACCTCTATCTGGGAATACCTTTATAGTCCTTCTGCTATATGCTTTCACAATCCATTTGTTGATTTGAAACTTAGCTACAGTGTGATCAACAAACCTTCAGAGCATAACGGCTCACAAAAGGATGTACAGATCTTACCTAGAATCAGAATATTCCTTATAAGAGGCAAGTTTCTTGGTTAATTTAGTATCCCCCCCCCCCCCCGAATCAAGCCTCCCATCTCTTTGACAGGGCCAATCTAGTGTCAGCGCAGCACTGGAGATGGGGATGGAAGCTGCAGCGCTTCTTCAGTCATCTGGCTTCCTGCCTGCAATTCCCTCCTCATATTGGCCTCTTCCCATTGTCCACTATAATCTTTAGTTTAGGCCCCAGGGAACAAGAATTGGGAACCTATGTCTCCAGATGTTGTTCAGCAGCATCTGCCATCAGGTCTAACCACAGCACAGGCAATGATGAAGGATGATGAGTGTTACTCCAGCCACATCTAAATGACCACAAATTCCCCTTATAAACAATATTATGCACAAACTGTTGTACAAATTAGTAATGTATTTCTCTACAGTCTTGCATTAAAGTTGGTGTCTAACTGTGCTCCATTCACAAGCGGCATTAGGCATTATTTAGTTTATTATCACTGATACAACAGATATAATGCAAAAAGAATGCTTTGATTTCATTGCCAGGTACATAAGAAATGTATATAATACTGAACAAAAAACACCTTCAACACAGAGGTGGAAAACCTTTCGCTCTTCAGATATGAGGGGACAGCCACTGGCAACATTGAAAAGGGTCAAATTTGACTCTCTGGACTTACCTGGATTATGTAATATCTTCTCTAATTCACCAAATACTACTCCAAGAAGCAAAGCCTTCATGTGCTGTAACTTCACTCTGGGTTCTGAATATCTTATCCAGTAACAGGTTACAGCTATAGGGAGCTGCAGGAGGCAAGGAATTGGTTCAAGGATGTTGGCTGTCACTCCTAATGTGTTGAACAAAAGTTGAATACGGTCTGCTAAAGAAATCTAAAAATAAAGAAATTGCACAGCATTGTCAAAGAAAGTGACTCTGGTAGGCATATCAAACAGATGTTAGCCATGCTGTGCAATGTGGCTCTAAGGTGAGTTATATTGCCTGCAAGGAGAAAAGCAATAATGGAGACAATATGTGGCTACTATCAATTGGTCAATGCATCTACTTGCTGTTGTGTGAAGACCCAAAGCCAGACAAACCATCTCAGCTAAAGGCTGATGCGAGAAGAAAGGAGCAGCATGTGCCTCTCATCTCATTTTATAATAGTAGTATTTGAACTATTCACATGTACTCCCATTACAATCCATGAGGGACAAGTTATATATCAGTTCCCAGGGTGGAGTACCTTTATCTTCTGTTAGGGTTTGTCTGGGATCACATAGGAGAGACAATGGCTGCAGTGGTTTCCACAGCGATTTTAATAAAAAAGGGTGACTGATTAGGGTTTAGTGCCACTTTTTTGGGGTACAGAATTGCTGTACACTGACAACCCTACAGATATACTTTTATTAGACATACTATTTTGACCATTTACCTTATTTAATATAGCCAGGGAATACTGGTTGCCACAAAAATTGCCAGACAATACTGCTGCTTGGAGAAATGATTTCTTGAGTGCTTTCTGGATTCTGTCAAATTCTTGGAAAACGGGAGTTGAAATGGGCTGTTTCCTCAGGAAGGTATTAGGTAAGCTCTGTGAAGTGTTTAGCAGTAACCCATAGATAACCTGCCGAACTGGCAGAGCAGTAGCATGAGCACTACACCTTTGCATATTCTCTACCTGAACATGAAGAATGCTTCTTCTTAACACCAGAGCATCACTAACAAATGGTGCTAGAAGGCCTTTAGCTAAACCAGCAAGAACCCACTGAGGTAATTCTAAGTTCTTTGCCTCCTCAGGTTCATAAACTCCATTCTGAAAAAAGTCTTGGAGATTGACACTGGATGGTTCATACTCTTCCATAAAGGAGGAAAGAAGCTGTCTTGTTTCCTCCTTCTCGTGGTTTTTTACATAATTCAGTACATTTTCTATTGCCTCAGTAGGATCAGCAAAACGGGACAGCCAGTTCAGTAGCCCTTGAATACGGATGTGCTTTCTACTTTTCTGCCTGGAGCTTCCGACAGGAAGGTGCACCTTGCTAAAGAACATTTCTATAGCCAGCAGATTAATGTAATCATTGCCATTCATCACTGCAAAAAGAGGCAAGAGGCTTTTGTTCATGTTGTTAAAATGGTTACAAAATCTTTCTAAGGAGAAGCGCTTTGCTGGGATGTAGCAATCTTGTGAGTCTTTACATTTGCAAAGGTTGTGCCACTGGAAGTAATTCAGAGGACAGTAGCCAGCTTTGAGGTCAAAAATGCAAAAGTCACTATCTAATGTTAGCACTGGGCAGCTCAAATGATTGGCCAATGATACAATTTCCCTGTCTGCCTCAGAAAAAGACTGAACAAAAGGCACTTGTAATTTCACCAAGATCTGCTTAAAGACCTCTCTAATGAGCAAAGGCAACACGTTTCCACCACCACCACAGGAGAGAGAATAAGCTGCCTGGATCTTCTCCCGAGCTCTCTCCTTTAATGTTGTAAGCTTTTTGTCCGATGCATCACATCCTCCATCCAGTACAACATAGGGCTGTATGTTGCATGCAGCTAATGTTTCAAAGAACTTATGTACAATATTGGTGAAAGAATCATAATCTCCACCATGCCGCATGTCCAGATTTGAGTCAAAATAAAGACGATGGTACAGGTTGTTTCCATCAATTACTACATCAGTATTTCTCAACTGCAGATCGGTGAAGAACTCATTGTGTTCTCCAATATAGCTCGTTAATCCTTGGATGCCCATACTGCTGGGTTGAAATGCCTCTGTTAAAAAGAAAGACAAAATAGCTTTTTGAATGCAAATGCACAAAGAGCTCAATCAACATGGCAGCAGCTACAGTATTTATCCCTCTTTATTTTTAACCAGTCCATGCCATATATTTGGAGTTAAAATAATTTACTCCCTATGGGAAAGTAAGGCAGTTGGCAGTTTCCAACAGACAGATGAAATAATCATAATCATAGACTGCAGAGCTAGAAGGGACCCTATGGATCATTGAGTCCAACCTCTGCCAAGGAGGCATAGTGAGGAACTGAACTCCCAACATCTAACCACTGAGCTGTCCATCAGTCCTATTTTGTTGAATAATAACTGATGAGCATTCAAAGTAAATACATATTAATGTTGAGCCCATCTTAAAATAAGGTGCATCAGACTCCCAGAAAAACAAGCAGGAGTATAGAGGAACAACCGGAAGCCCCTTTACCATCTATTCTTATTGCAAAGCCTCTACACCTATCATGTCTCCCAAATGTCACTGGATTCAGCCCTTTCAGCCCTAGCCAGCACGATAAATGGTCTGGAATGCTGTGGGCTGAAGTCCAGCAACATCTGGAAAAATGGTGACATGGACACTGGCAAGCATGCACGGCCGTCTTGCTCCCTGGTGGGCTAATCCGAAGCACAAGGTCTTGGCAAGCTGCAGCAAGTGTAGCAGTGGACAGGCCCAGGCAGACAGTAGAATCCTAAATCAGAGTCAAGAGACAAAGCAGAGATCCAGAGTCCTGCTTGGGAGTCAGATAAACCAGGTGTAGGAGAGACAAGACAAAAATCCAGCAGCAACCTGAAGACCAGTAGCAGCAGCAAACAAGCAGTGACAGAAGATGGGTCCAAAAGGCCAGTGGTTCCTTATCCTTGTCAGATTTGGAATGATCAGGCTCATCCTCAATGGATGAACCAAGTAAAACTATGACAAGAAAAGGTACCCAAGAGGAAACACTAATTCTCTGAACTATCTTACAACCCCAAAACACATTTTGTCAAATTTCAAAGCTATGCTTCAAAACTAGACAGGGCTGACCCCTCCTGGGATAGGAGATAACAAATACATTCGAAAAGATTTAAACTTTGATATTTTACAAGGAACACATTCTTGTATTTACAAATCTCTGTACTCAAAAGAAAATACTGCAGAGCTCAATAGAGCTTTGTCCCATAGGGGTCAAGCAGTTGCAATACTATGATACATTCTCACCTTCACATATTATTCCATGCCTAGAGCTCTTCCAAACAGAGTGTAGCTTTTTAAATTCCAGCTGAAGCAGAGCCCTTACCAAGATTCGTCCTACTGTCCAGGCAACATTGTCCCTTATGGGGGGGCAGGGCTTTTGGCTTGATTTTCCACCAATTTTGGTACCTCCCAAATTCCTTGGTTTTCACTGCACTTATCTTCTCAGTCTGAAGCTCACTCCCCTACCCCCCAAAACAACCTTCCTAATGCACTCTATAGCAAGGGCTGTTTTTTGTGCTACTGTACTTCCGGTTCAAGCTTAAAAGTGCAATCAGTACAGTACAGTTTATTGTTGCGGTCCTTAGACCAATCACACGGGGGGGGGGACAAATCTTAACAGTTTCCAAAATTTCATATACAGTACTGTACTTTGTAAACACATTTGGCATTAAAAGACGATTTAAAATCTAGTATCTAGAATTTCAGTTACTCTGTAAAAAAATTTTGCCATTTAAAAGACAACTTAAAATCTAGTACCTAGGTACCATGGAATTTCTGAGACCTGACTATCACCATACAAAATCTGGCTACTTGATAAGTGAACCTGGAGTCTAAGAAAGAAGAAACTCAAGTCACTTTTTTTTCTGCATAGCCAACAATTTTTTTTTTGGATGATGATCTAACAGGCCACCTCGTAATGCAGGGCAGGTGAACAAGATATGTTTGATAGTCTCAACCTCCCTTAGGGGACAGGTACAAAAGATTTTCAGCAAAAGCAATATTCTTGTACTTCCCTTCAATAACAGTGGGTGGGCCAAGCAACTTGCCAAGGTGAAGCTTCGAAACCCTTTCACTTCCAGAGATGTTAAATAATTTGCTGGTTCCCCGAAGTTTTTGATGTAGGCCCTCACTGTAGTATTTTGTATGCTAGGAAGGTCAGTTTGATGGTCTATATCCTCAGTTCTGCACTTTACTAGTGTTTTGTTTTTGCCCGATCTATTCCATAAGATAAGAGTATATCAGGGGAAAGGCCAATTTTGAACAAGTAGCTCTGCACAGACTTGACCCAGTTGGATGGGAAATTGTCATAAAATATTACAGGAAACAGACCTTGTGGATTTAGATGTACCTTTAGCCACATATATATAACCCAGACTCCAACTTTTAGGCAACCTGTCTCCAATCTCACCCAGGCATTTGACACACATCTAGGGACCTGTACGATCTTTAAAATTTAGACTGGACTCTTTCCTGTGGTGCAGAGTGGGAGCTAAGTGGCTCCAGAAATGAACTATATAACAGTTGGGATAACATCTTAGCCTTATGAAGTTTGAGAGCTGCTGGAACAAAGAACCCTTCTTGAGAATGATGGAGATTTGCTATGCTATTTGCAGATCTTTCTCCTTGATCTGTCACATATTTACTGTGTTCAGCCCCACAGCCCAAGGCCTGGAGAACTACCCCAAGATATTTGAAGTTGTTGATTTGCTTGGTCTACACCCCAAGGCAACTATCTTGGTTTTCTGGTAGTGGACTGTTATGGACTCATCTTCACAGTATGAGGAGTGCTTCCCAAGGGCCCTCCTCAACCCAGCAGGGGTCCTGGGGAGTATCACTGTATCATCTGCATACAGTAGCACTGGTACTATCCTGTTATCAAATTTGGTAGGGTGGAGATCAGGGGTATTAAGCCAGCTGGACAGATTATTTATATAAAAATGAATAGTGCTGATATTAGTGGCAACCTTGCCTAATGCTTTATGTTTGAATGGGTTCACTAAGATGCCCTTGTCTACTGCATCTGACTCTCATATATGTTTGCTCATGTAGGGCCCTTATCAGCTTTAGAAGTCTTCTTTCAATAGATGAATTTCTTAGCTTGTCCTAGAATCACATTCTAGATATAAAGTGAAATGTCATTTGAAGTCAACAAAGGCTGCATAGAGTGAAGTTGTTTCCTTAGAGGAATATTTCTCAATAAGATGTTGAACAATAAGGCATTGATCTATTGTAGATCTCCCTGGCCTAAAACCCGCCTGTTCCGCCCCAATAATGTTCAGACCAGTCCAAAAGTTTGTCCAGGAGGTGCCTTGCATACAGCTTTCTTATAATATTTAGCAAACTAATCAGCCTATAATTTGATGGATCCTCTCTTTAACCTTTTTTATAAAATGGAACTACTGTGGCCAATTCCCATGATTTAGGGATGCGGCCAGTGTCATCAATATGAATGCAGCTTACCCAAGACCACACAGGTTGGATCTACTCATAGGAGGCACAATGCGGAATTGCAACCTCTGCTTCCACAGCCAAATATCTAAATGACTGAACTATTCAGCCAGCTAGCTGATTAAAAGATCACTTTAGCAATTCAATTCTACCTGAAGACCATTTTCCCAACTGAAGTGCCTATGTTAATAATGTTCAGATGCCGTTTCAAACAAATGGCTTGTGTAAAACATCAGTAAAACAAATACATGGGGGCTTCAGATATGACTGTCAGAACTGTTCCTCATAATCTGGAACACCATTAAATTCAATTAATTTATTGTTCTTCATAGTTGCTTAAAATTAGTGTAAACCACCCCATGTTTTCTAAATGGTTAAAGGTCATGCCATGTCCTGGACTTTAATAATTGTACTACACATCCTATGTGCGAGATGTGCTAGGTTGAACATCTGATGAAAATAGTCAGAAGAGCCACAGGTAGACTATGTGGGGACATAATGCTGTGATGGGAAGAACTGTGCCTTTCGAATTTCTGCCCCTTGTGTAAGTCCAAAACTGAGATTGCCAGAACAAAAATAACAACCTACTGTATGCTGGACACTGTGAAATTGTTCACATCAACGGGGAGATATAAGCAAGGTACTGAAGGAGGGAGTTGTGGGTATCTCTCCCCCCCCCCACCCTCCTTGAAAACTAACCTCCCACCTTTCGGTGCAGTGGAAGACACTGTGGCATCATCAGTGTCAAAGGAAGAGTCCGTTGCTAGACAGTCAACGTTTGTATAGGGAGACGAGAGCTAACTACTTTGCCTTAGGCAGCAAAACATCTTGGGCCAGTCCTGGCAACTGAATGCGCACGAGTCTAAGAAAGCTACGTACCTCTTCGTCTTAGACACGAACCCCTTTTCCTCCAGGTGATCGACCACTCAGCTGGGCGGTCACCCCTTTCTGATAGGTCTCTTTCTGTTGCGGACAGAAACTCAACAGGTCTTTTTCTGTTGCGGACAGAAACTCAACAGGTCCATGCTTTTCTTGCACTAAGATGCGGGGAGAGGAGACAGGAAGCTGTATCTGTTGGATTCCCGCCTGCCAAGCAACTCTGAAAGCACAGAAAGCCTTGCCTGTTCAATTCCCACAGCCAGCAGGGACGACTAACCTTGTCCTTCGCTTCCCGGCTCGCGACTGTCGTTGCCTGAGGATAAGGAACAGATGCATCCGCCTTGTCGCTTAAGGTTCCCCTCAGCTCAGGTCAGAGGCAGCCCTGCGCTCGGAGGCCGCAACATTTCTGCCCGCCATTCGCTCCTCCAATGCCACCAACTTGAGCCTTCCCGAAACCACCGTGTCAGGAAGATAGAGAGGCCTAGAGAGGCAGGAAGATGTCTTTTCAGCCCTCTTCCTGCCTCTCTAGGCCCACCTCTTGCATTCCCGTCGTCCAAAGCGCCGTCTCCTAGCAACGCCAAACATTGGGGAAGTGGGAGGGGGAAGAGTTTCGAGCCGCGTAGTTTTACAGGAGCCTCGAGGAGGTTGAGGGAGGCGAACTGAAAAGTGGCCTTTTCTGTCCCTTCCCCCTTGTACTGTGGTCGGGTAGATGGACAAGGTAAGCTCAGTCCCCCTGCCCCACTTTTTCCACATCCCGCCCTGCTAGTCGGAAAAAATGCGCGCGGGGGGGAGGGGGTCTTTTTCCCCTCGCCCTTTAGTCCATGAGTTTCTTGGGGTGGATTCTAATGCGCCAGAATGGGGAAGAGTGCTGGCTAAGCTCTCCGGAATGTTTTATCCTAGTTTATGGCATAAATACCAGGCTTAGGAAGACTTTTAGCCCTCTGGGTGTTTTGGACTACAACACCCATCCGGCCCAGCCAGCACGATCAACGGTAAGATACTGGAAGTTGTAGTCGAAAAATAGAGGGCCGTTCAAAGTTGTCCCACCCTGTTATGGGGGAGGGCGTGTTCCTATGAACTGAGAAGGATGTAGTTCAGAATGTGGTTAAATTCTTAGCCAAGCCGGTGATTTTGTAGGTGGACTGAGGAAGCCTCTATCAGTGGTCCCCAGATGTTCTTGGACTACAACTCCCAGAAATCCTGGCCAGCACCGCTAGTGAGGAAGACTTCTGGGAGTTTTCATCCAAGAACATCTGTGGACACAAGGTTGGAAATCACTGCTTGCATCTTAACAGATACTTCCTGGAAACTTTCACTGTCCACAATGTTTCTATATGAATATATACATATTCAATAAACTTATCACATCAGCCTAATAAACTGACCAGGTGTTTGGTAAAATATCTGTAGTAGTAGTAAATAATAGAAAATGTCTACGATTTTGTGCCAGCAGTTTATAGGGAACAATTTGGAAAAACCACCTTACCTAATGAGTCTTGCCTTTATCTTTATACAGTGGTACCTCATCTTGAGAACATCCCTACATAAGAACGATTTGAGTTAAGAATGGCTCCAATTGCAAAAAGATGCTTCGACTTGAGAACGGAGCCTCAACTTAAGAACCAAAAAAACCCTTTTCCTGCCCTTTTTTTCGTCAAGGTACCACTGTATTGTAAATTCTCAGGCAAGACTTGTCCTTTTTAAATTTCTGTATAGCCCAGAGATTTTAAGCAAACTTAACTAGTAATGTAGTAAGAAAGATACCATTGGCTGTTGCTGTATTTTTTGGTTATTGCTCTAATAGTGTGATGTTAGAGTGATTACGTACATGCCAATTTCATGTCAGTTTCCACGAACAAGTTGGAAGCTGGGGGGAAGACTGTGGGGCTCTAAACTTGTTTATATATTAGGATCAAAATAATGTTGTAAGAAGGTTCGTTCTTTCCCTGTGGCTGTTCCCCTTCTTGAACTGTAAAAGATGAATCATTATTTTGAAAAAAAAACTTTTATTGACAGAACCAATTGCTTCAGCTTTGTTCAACTCGTTAGAACAGCAAACAGATAACTGAGGTGGGGAATTGTCCCACATCCGTAACAATGACTTTTCTTGGTTAATGTCCTTTAGTAACAAATTCTGCTCGGTTTCTCTTTGTCGGTTGGTTCTCTCGGTTGTTTCTTGCGCCCGGTACATATGGTCCCGCAGCAAGGGTGGCGAGCCCACTGCCCCTCTGCCTGTTTCTACCTCATGTAGCTCGGGTCTGCTGGATAGACTTGTTGCTCTGGACCTTGATCTCTTGGAAAGACTAAAACTGTCCATTCCAACAGACTTAGTCCTGCTATAATTGGATGGATTTTCTCTTCAGAAGACCACTTGTCTCTTCCTTCTCTGATACTCCCGGCTAATCTCTTTCTTGGTACCTGTAACGGAACCCAAAGTATGATGTCATTCCTGCATGTCAGTCAGGGGATGGAGCAGGAGGGGCGGAGTCAGAATGACAGTTGGAACAGCTGGGTGAGACAGTTAGGAGTTGGAATCAGATAGAGAGAGAGGTGCAGGCAGAGTTAGGGACCAGAAGTTATTGAGAGAGTGCTAGGGCTTAGGAGTAGCAAAAAGGGTTAAGAAAGGAAATTGAAAAATATATTGAACAAGCAGAAATGAGCGCATCAGTATAATATGAGAGATAATGACATGATCTGATACACTTTAACACCTGATTTAATATCCATGAACATATGAAACAGTTATATTTGATTCTCCTTATGATTTTGTTC